TGCATTGACTCGGTCACCGAGGGAGCTGGAGGAGGTCTACCAGTACCTCTCGCAGGTGATGGGTCTGGAGAGCTCAGCCGAGGTGAAAACAGTGGCCAAACACTCCCACGAGACGCGACATTCAACGCGACTCTGTATTGCGGCTTCCCCGGCGTGGTGTCTGCCCTTGAAACAGACGATCGCGCGACACACCCTCCTGCTTCTGGCGAACCAGTGGCCGCCCAGTCTGCCGCACTCCATCAAAAGCAAGCTTTCTGCTTTCCTTGACTATTCTTTTGCTTGATTGCACCGCTAGAACGCATCAATCAGTGTCTTGCAGAGTAGCGTTTTAATCGGGTTTGGTAAATTTCAGGCGTCTGGTGTCAAAGCACACAACTGACCAATCAGATTTCTTGATAAGACCCTTGATTTCACGGGGAGTTCTTGTTCTCTCTCAGAATCGCGTGATTACATCGCTGGGAAACTGTTGACGTGTCCTCCCGAACGATTCTCCTACTGGCTTGAATATCACGATGAACCCGAGGCGGCTCATGTCGACGGGCGAAGCTTTAGCGGTGCTGATGTTCGCCAGTTTGAGAAAATCTGTGCGTGTCTGGAATCGGAGGAGCCCTCAGACGGCGCTTACAACTACGCCGACGATGTTGAAGACGACGAAGATGAAATTTATGAGAGTGATTCCGATGACTCCGATCAAGACCCAAATAAATGAATCTGATTGGTGTGTACACAGGCACCCATCTCCTAGTTTTGACGACGTTTCACTTGCTATGAAGTGTTTCCACAGACAAACCACCGCCGTTTTACACGAGAAGGTCGCAGTCGGCGTGCACGTATCGGTGTTTATTTGGGAATAACTCACTTTGGGTCCTCATCCGAATGGTTTTGTTGAAACAGCAAAGAGGATTCTGTCAGTTCACAAATGCGAAACTATGAGCCTATTTTGTCTTCACAACTCCCCCTCCTAGACTAGCGTTGATACATTTCGCGAATGAGTTTGCGCGCCCCATACCTTTGTCGTCTCAGTCGAACGAACAGTGCGATCTCAGACGTTCGTAAACACGGAGGAAATAAGAAGATTAAAAGTTGTAAAAATCGTCAGAAATCCAGTCTCGGGATACCGAATCCTCCACAGAATACATTCGTTATGTTTTCCGGGATCTAACGATGCGTATGGGGAATTCACGAGTCAAACTAAGCTACTGATCGAACGATGCTGTGTAGAAACGTCCAAATTCGAACACTTCCTAGTGCTCCCAACTTACTCCCTTTGTCTAGAAAGTGGTGTCCCACCGTTTCTTACGCTTCAGCAATTTTGTGATCTATCTTCTGGTGTGTCTTCGCAAGATGCGGTTGTAGACAATGTCTGGGTGTCGCAGTTAAGGCATCAAAGTTGGGCTATGATGGTAGTGTTGGGGATCCACGATTCCCCATGATTGGTTTCTTATGCTATTTACATTAATTCGCTAACATTTGTTTTGTTACGCTTTTTATCGAGTCAAGGTCAACCCTGACTTGAATTAGTTTCGTTTACGATACTTGACTTCTCCGCACGTGGCTGACGTGAATAAAGCTCTCTACACGAGCTCTGGTCTTGTTCTGGTATTAGCCGGGGAGGTTGGTTCTAGCTTCAACTAGGGATCTGGTACCGTTGTTTGAGTGGTCTTCTCTTTGGTACAGGCAAACGTAACAGGTAGATCCACCACGGCATCGTTGAGCATTCTGGTCGAGCATCTGTGGTAATATCTTTCCGTCCAAACAGACGTCGTGAATCGTTTAAGAATTGAATTTGCAAAATTAGACTGTGCCATCGTAGTATTTGCGCGGGGATTCAACTACACCTGGTATTAGAGTGAAGATTCGACACTCAAACCTGGGATACCGAGTCAGGCTTATTACCGTGCGTTCCTGTCTATGTGGTCGAGTTAACCACCATCTCCTTAAAACATGGCGATTCATGCAATGCGGCGTTGTAAATTGGACTTGTTCACCGAAAAATAGAAAAGCATGAGCCAATGCTTAATGACACAGAATCGTTTCTTGAAAAGCGGTTTTTGCAGAACGAATCCCAAGAATGCCATCAAGCAAGTGTGTGTATATTTAAGCTGTAGGGCGTTAACGGTTCAGATAACTTAATGCATGAAAAGACACTAATCTTTGGGTTGCATAATGATTGTCCCAATAGTGTCGGATTTAACGCTGATACTCTAAGGTAACTTCTAAAATCAATTATGCAAACAGCTGCTACCGCCGCACAATGTTTAGAGGTTGAGGTCAAGAGTCAATTTCACGAAAACGCCTCCCAGCAGACTGGAGCTTGATTTAATCGGGAATGATTTCTAAGCAGCAAAGAAAATTTGCGTTTGGGCTATCCACAATTCTCTTGAGTAAAACAAGAAGGTATTACCCGAACTTGATCAGTAATCATCAAATTCACTTAACAAATTGCAGACTGGGAAAGATAAAGAACAAGGGTGGAATACATGATTCTTTTATTTACTCAAACTTGATTATGTTTACAAAAAAATTGGCCAAAAGCAATCATTTGTGCATCATAAAGTGTCGAGATAGGCGCGACACATTTGTTGAATTGGTTAAAAAAGGAAGTGATGTATTGGCTCCAATAAGTCATAACCGCTAGCCATATTGCGTTCCTTCGCCATATTGTTTGAAATTGCAGTTAAACACAGAATGACTGCACATGCGAACATAAGAAAGCAAGTCTAAATCCTATTGTGATTTACAAACGCGATATCAGCAGAGAAAAAAGGGAAGAACATTGTGAATTTACGTGCTTTTGTTGGTTAGTGTGTTAAGCTGGCAATTGACGCAATCGATTTCTGGTGTTTTCTTGGTCTGTGCAATTCATCTTCGGTTTCAAACGATGCAAAATGCAACCAGGCACACATAATGTCCAATAGAAGAGTGAGCATAATTGCACAAATTCTACCAGACGCTCGCTAACTTATGTCTAGCATTATACTGAAATAATGGGTAAAATCTATTAGCGATGAAGTAATTGAGAAGTTGATGAATCTAGCAGTGAATCCTGGTTTTCAGATGAAATAACAGTTGAAGTCCCACTGTGAGTGCTTTTAGTTCGAACACAGCTCGAATTTTTGCAGATCTCGTAAATTCGCGACATGCAATCGTAATACCACTGATTTCATTATCAGTA